CCAAAGCATGCACTCTTTTTTTCTACAAGTTTCACAGTATTCACAATTTAGAGGGAATAAAGCAAACCAATACAGAATAGCAAAATAAACATATACTGGTGGCTCACATACACACATACTGTCAGTGTACTTACAGATTTGCTGCTTCTATTTTTTCTTTTTTTAATATCAATTTCCTCAAGGTAGAATAACCTTCAAACATTTTATTAATTAACTTCTACACTATTACACTGCGATTGAAAGGAGTGACATCAGTCCTCTTGTACAAGCTTGGGGGGAAAAACACTTCACACTCAACCAAAAGTGCAAAGAAAAGGAGTGCTGAATCTTATATCTAATGTGAACAAACTCAGGTATGCAAGTTAGTAAGCGGATATGTGACCGCCTTACTATAGATAACACTATGCTACAGAAAGACACAGGAACCTTCTGGTATCACATTCCCAACTATGCTACCTAAAAACCAAATGTTTTACAGCTTCATTTGTATCTCAAATAAATCTCTTTTACAGATCTTAAAAAGAACAAAACAACAACAACAAAAACCAGGTCATAATTCAGGCTATCTGAATTTAAGTCTTATTCTGCTTACTATCGGTAACATCATAGGTAGGTTACTCAAGCTTTCTGTGTCTGTTTCATTTTGAGTAAAATAAGTGTTATAATAGTCAAATACTAACTTATTTTTTAAAGGGAGAGTAGGCCAGAGGATTAGTACAGTGTCTGGCATATGATGAGTCCTCAATAAATGTTAGGTATTATTACTATTAAACAATCTTAGATAAAGGTAGACTAATCCCTCATTTCCTCTTCTGACTTACTATCCTTCGAAGAAAGTAATGAACTAAAATATCCAATGATCAAATAGTAGGAAAAAAGACAAAATAATAGGATGGTTGGGTTTATTAGCAGTATGGATAAACAGAAGTTAAATTAATAGTAGCAACATACCACAATTTATTCAAATATTCCAACATGTAAATCCCTTCCTTCCCTCCTTTGCTTCTTTAAGATATAAAGTATACAAGGTGAAAAAGTAATAGCAAGGGGGAAGAAAATATGTTCAATAAAAATGGGACTTCAATCTATGGCAGCCATGATCATTTTATATTTTTGATGGTTCTTAGAGACAACTCTATAGAGACAGTCCTTTAAAAAAAAAAAAAAGATTAAAGTGCTATATGCTTATACTATAAAGTCTGAATTTTAAAAATAAAATTATTCCAACAGAATACCAATTCACATATCCCACAAAATAGATTTTTGAAACAAGAGAAAAATCATTTTTACTAGCATGAAACAGCCCAAACTTTTCTAAAAACTGTGCTAGTACTATAACCCAAAGGAACTTAACAGAAATGGATAGAAAGTTGTAGAACAAATGATCATTTTAACAGTTTTATTAAATGATATATTATTTTGAAATGAGAAATTAAAGCTTAGGATATATGTCATGAACTCCCTATATCACAAAGGTAAATTTTCTTTAAAATTTTGATAGAGCAATAGGACTATTGTGAAATGAAGTAAACTTTGATCAATAATGGCAGGGAAAATAAAAACTAACAAAAGCAAGAATTATTATAAGAAATTTAAGGATAGAATATCCAAAAATGTAGGGTGCCTGGGTGGCTCAGTTGGTTAAGAGACTGCCTTCGGCTCAGGTCATGATCCTTGAGTCCCGGGATCGAGTCCCACATCGGGCTCCCTGCTCAGCAGGGAGCCTGCTTCTCCCTCTGACCCTCTTCCCTCTCGTTCTCTCTCTCTCTCATTCTCTCTCTCTCAAATAAATAAATCTTAAAAAAAAAAAAAAAAAAAGAATATCCAAAAATGTAATATATGTACCAAAATAAAAAGTGTAAGTAGGAAGATACTAGGAACAACAATTAAAAAATTAAACAGAGGGAGAGATAAATCAGTTATTTGTTGTGAAAGATATACTTGGTTATACAAATGAGTTGGCAAGTTAGGTACCTGGAATCCCATAATTAACAGTATACTAAGAAAAGAAAGTAGACTGCCTCATTTTTAACCATACTGTCTAATAATTTAACGTTAATACAACGCTGAAACAGAAATGTTAAGATAAAAAATTATGATAACAGTAGAAACTCAGCCTAAATGGTAAGATCAAGATCAAGATGACTGAATCACTCTCTTCTGCATCTCTCATTCTTACATTCCTCGACCAGGTACCTGACCAACTGAACATGCTCATCAAAGGTTTTCTGAATTGCTGTATGGATTGATGGGGAGAAGGGAGGGAAGAAGGAAGGAAAAGAGTAAGAGTAATAATCATAAATATTATATAAATAGTTATTTTCAAACTTTAGTCTGAATATAAGAATAACACCTAAGAAGTCTGCTCAACCCAACCCCTAATTTTAATTCATTAGCTCTAGGATGAGTCCAAGACCTAGATTCCAACAAACACCCCAGATGATCCTGATGCAAGTAATTCATGGCCTCTAGAACACCATTTCTAAAGCTGGTACCACCCAGAACTCTACAGTACAATAAAAAAAATAGGTCTTGAAAAAAGTGCTCTTTGATAAGTTAGGAAAAAAGTTAAAGTAATTATTTTTCTGAACAGTAGTGTTTCTCAGACCTTCAATATATATTTGAATCCTCCCGAGAGAGAAAATAATCATACTCTATTTCCAAAATTACTGACCATGAAATCCTTCTTTGTGTTTTACCCACCCATATCTGTAAGAAGACTAAGACTTTTACACAAGAAAACAAGAGACAAGGAATAAGGTAAAAGAATTGGACTAAATTAGAAAACTTAAAAGCTTCCTTATAATTCTAGGTTGGAAGAGCAAACAAGTAAGTTAGAAAAATATAGGATCCTCCTTCATCTTAAGTAGTATTAAACTATGGGCACATAAGTATCACTATAATAGGTATGAAATTTCCCCTCTATATAGAACTTCAAAGTTCAAGATAATAACACTGGCCCTAAAGATTTCTTTAAACAATAAAGGAAGAAAATGTTTCATAAAAGGATAATCTTTGCAGACATAGACACATGAAGTAATAGTTTTTCTCTAAGATCTTGGCATCGAAGTTATACAAAATATGTTAGAAATAGAAATAAGCAGGCTTATTTAAAGAAGGAAAATTCTCTTTAGTTCATTTGTAAACAAAATGTATTTGTGAGGCCTAATGAAATGTTTTAAACTAGTGGGAATTATAAATAAAACAATTTCAAGTTGATCAGAGTATTGAAAATCAACTATTTAAATTATCTAAGAGAAAATTTCCACATCTGTGTCATCAATTTCAAGTAAGCCCATAACACAAAACTGAATGAAGTACTCTAGGTGACTTCTCTTAAATAAGATCTCTTAACTGATTAGATTAAATACGGCTACTACAGATTAAAGAAAATTTTTGAGAAAGCTGTAACTTCAAGGAAAAAAGCAAAAACTCTCTAAAACTAAATAGGTAACAAAACAAAGGATGACAACTAATCCAAAAAATATCTACATCTCCTTCAGGGGGAGGCAGATTTTTGAGAAGTGTCTGCCTTGGTTCAAGGTAAGAAAGTAAAAAATGCCCCCCCCGCTAAGAATTTGTAACTGCAGACCAGCCTTCATGTGTTTGGGGCAGAAATTCACACCACTTGCGTAATGGAAAAAGACACATACACCAAATTTATTTAAAATGGTCTTAGGTTGGTAGACCTCCCAGGTACCTGGTAATAACAAATATAAATGCCTCCTGGAAGAAATTCTTTAAACTCTAACCTCAAAAAATTTTTAATGAGAAACTAACAATCTCATAGAAAAACTGGAAAAGAGGGGCGCCTGGGTGGCTCAGTCTGTTAAGCGTCTGCCTTCAGTTCAGGTCATGATCCCAGGGTCCTGGGATGGAGCCCTGCACTGGGCTCCCTGCTCGGCGGGAAGCCTGCTTCGTCCTCTCCCACTCCCCCTGCTTGTGTTCCCTCTCTCGCTGTCTCTCTCTGTCAAATAAATAAATAAAATCTTTTAAAAAAAAAAGCTTTAAAAAAAAGAAAAACTGGAAAAGAATTGCATTTACATTCCCTAGAAGAGAAAATACAACTTACCAAAATACACAGATATTCAAAGACATTAATACTGAGGGAAATGCAAAATAAAATGATACACTATTTTACATGTATCGCATTGGACAGCACTAAAATATTGGACACAACAAGTTTGTACAGCAACAGATCATTCATTGCTATGAGTGTAAACTGGTTCGGAACATACTGGAATTACCTAGCAAAACTAAAGATGCACAAACCAATAATTAAGCAAATGAACACCTTGGTATTTACCCTAACTCCTTGTTACCATGCTTCAGGAGACATCTACAAAAATATTTAAAACAGAGTTGTTTACAAAAGGAAAAAGATGGAAACAAAACTGTCAATCTACAGAATAAAATATATGATCTATTCTTTTAATAAAAAACTATAACATTAGTGAATATAAATTAATCATAACTACACAGATCAGTATTTATGAATCAAATCAATGGGTTAAAGTATCAAATAACAAAAGGAAAAAGTCTGACTCCATTCATATAAAATTCAAAACCTGCAAAACTATGTATTACTTATGAGTACACACATTTGGAGATTAATTATTAAAAAAAAAAAAGAAGAAGAGAATGAGAAATATAAAGTTGAGGATACAGGTAATCTCTGTGCTAGATAGATGAGAATGTGATTACCAAGGATTCACAGGGGACATCAAAGCCTTTGGTAATGTTTGATTTTTGAAGCAGGTTGGTGGATACAGTGGGCATTCATTATTATTATGCTTTAAGTTGAATATATAAACCATAAATTCTCACACATGTATGGTGTATTTCATAATGTAAAACAATAAACTCTTAAGAATGACCAATAGCAACATATTGGTTTCTTTCTTTGACTCCTGAGTATATGTTCACCCTTTGTCTTTCTCACCTCTTAAATTTTGGCCTCAGATTTCTGTGATGATTATGATAAACGGGGAAAAAGTTACCGTGTTTCTTATTGGAATCTTCTTGGGTTCTGGAGGCATATCCTGTGGAACAAATTTCACGGGTTCCTTAATCTGTCTCCTTGATCGTTTGGTCCCATCTGGTAAGGTTTCCATGGCCATGTCTGCTTCCATATCACTGCTCCCTGCCTGGTCACATTCTGAACACTGCCTACATAAGGAAAAAAATGTAAGTTCACACATTTATTTTTATTTTCTAGCATTAGCTATGGTTTCTATTAATACAAAATTCAGGTGTATGTGAAGAATATATAAAAATGTACACTCCTGTAAGAATGACAATAGTAAATATATAAAGCAATTCCTTGTATCCCTGTAAGTATCATAAACCCACATACAATAATGTTACATGTTTAAGTGAACCAACATAAGAGATTCAACACTGATGGCGGAGTCCAAAGCAATGGAAATATGTCTCTCCACCTAGAAAACAACTGCACCAGCAGAATCTGTTTGATATAATTATTTTGGAACTCTGGAGTCTAGTAAAGGCTTGCAGCTTCCAAGGAAAGACTTGCGCAGGTAAGCTGCCATGAATTTCAGTCAATTTCAGCTCTCAGCAAAGTCACAGCTACCCATTTTCCAACCAAGCCACATGGCAGGCAGTCGTGCACATGTTCTTGCAGTAGCTTACATACAGCTGTTAGGAGCCACGATGGGCAAAATAAACCATGTCCTCCAAATATTGAGCACCTGTGCTCTGATTACAGAAATAAAAAAAGGTGAGTGAGCTCCCCCTTGGCCTGAAATGACTTCTAGAACTTAAAATTATCCCCCACCTTCATTTTTCTCTTTGCCCCCTTTTGGGAGCCAGACATTAAACACATGGACATTCAAAAATAAGTGCATACACAGGAAAAATTAGAAAATGACCACATTTGCCCAGGGAAAGGCTCAGAAAAGTTTACACCTTAGTCTGATTCTCAACCAGAGACAGCACACTATAATAAAAAACAAAAACAAACAAACAAACGGAAACGGTAACAAAACACAGCGAATGTTGGGAATGAAAGAAAATCTCACTTCCAAAGTTATCACATTATTAAATTCAAATGTCCAGTTTCTGACAAAAACCTCACAAGGTATAGAAAGAAAAAGGAAAGTATCATCCATTAAAAGGCGGGAAAAATGAACAGAAACTGTCCCGGAAGAAGACCTGATGGCAGATATGCAAGACAAAGAATTATTTTTTAAATGCTCAATGAACTAACAGAAATTGTGGAGAAAGACAAGAAAATAATTTATGAACAAAATGGAATTATCAATAGAGAGACAGAAAGCCTAAAAATAAACCAAAAGGAAATTCTGGAGATGGAAAGTATAATAACTGAATGGAAAATTTACTAGAAGGATTAAAAGGACAGATTTGAGCAGCAAACTTGAAAGAAAGAACAATGGAAACTACAAAGTCTGAGGGACAAACAGGAAAAAAAAAAACTTGAAAAAAAGTGAATAGATCCTAAGAGGCATGTGGGACATCAACAAGTGGACCAACATTTGCACTGTGGAAGGCCCAGAAGAAGAAAAAAGGGGCAGAGAGAATGTTTGAAGAAATAATGACTGAAAACTTCCTAAATTTGATGAAAGAAGATAATATAAAATCCAAGAAGCTCAACAAATACCAAGCAAGATAAATTCAAAGAATCCCACACCAAGATGCATTATAATCAAACTTTCCAAATAAAAAGACACAAAGAGAATCTTGAAAATACAAAGAGACAAATTCAGAATCATCACATACTAGGGATCCTCAATAAGATTACAAGCAGATCTCTCATCAGAAATTTTGGTGGCCAGAAGGCAATGTATCAATATATTCAAAATGCTAAAAGGACCAAACAAACAAACAAACAAACAAAAAAAAACCTGTCAACCAAGAATCCTATGTTCATCAAAACTGTCCTTCAAAAGTGTGGGAGAAATTAAGACAGTCCTAGACAAAAGGTGGGCGAGTCTGATACCACCAGACTTGTCCTACAAGAAATGATCAAGAGAATCCTACAGGGTGAGGGGGAAAAAAAGGACACTAGACAGTGTCAGAATCCATTATGGAGAAATAAAGATCTCAGTAAAGGTTAATACATGATCAATTATAAAAGCTAGTATTATAAGGATGGGTTGTAACTCCACTTCTTGTTTTTTACATGATGTATAGGAACACATTAAAAAAAAATTAATACCCTAAAAACTAATATTATTATAACTGTTTCTTAAGTCCACATTCATGTTGAAGAAGGATTTAAATAAGATACAGAGAGGCACCTCGGTGGCTGAGTCGGTTAAGTGACTGACTCTTGATTTCAGCTCAGGTCATGATCTCAGGGTCATGAGATCGAGCCCCACATCAGGCTCTGCACTGAGCACGGAGCCTGCTTAAGATTCTCTCTCTCCTCTTCCCCTCACCCCCCTACAGGCTCACACTCCCTCACTCTCAATAGTATAAATAAATAAATGAGATATACAAAGATATACAAATGACTAATAAGCAAAAGAAAAGATGCTAAACATCACTAATCAGTAGGGAAATGAAAATCAAACCACAATGAGATACCACCTCACATCCAATAGGATGGCTATTAACAAAACAAAAAACAGAAAATAGTAAGTTCGCAAGGATGCAGAGAAATTGGAACTCTGTGCACTGTTGATGAAATGTAAAATAGCACAGCTGCTTTGGGAAGCAGTATGGTGGTACCTCAAAAAATTAAAAATAGAATTACCATATAATCCATTCTTAAAGAGATATACACCCACGTTCATAGCAGCATTGTTCACAATGGCTAATTGTGGGAGCAACCCCAGTAACCACTGACCCGTAAATGGGTAAGTAGAATGTATACACATACAATGGACTATTAATTCAGCTTGAAAAAAGAAGAAAATTCTGCAATATGCTATGACATGGATGAACCTGAAGACATTAGTCTAAGTGAAATAGTCCAGTCACTAAAAAGACCAATACTACATGATTCCACTTACATGAGGTACTTAAGAGTAGTTAAAATCATAGAGACAGAAAGTGGAATGGTGGTTGCCAGGGGCTGGAGGGGAGGGAAGAATGGGGAGTTATTATTTAATACATAGAGAGTTTCAATTTTTACAAGACGAAAAATGCCACAGAGACAGATTATTATAGTATCTAATACAATAATATAATAATTATTAATGTATTTAATGCCACTGAATTGTACCACTTAAAGATGATTAAGATATAAATTTTATGTAATGTGTATTTTGCCACAACAAAACATTTGAAAAAACAAGAGTGACATTAAAAGATAATTAAACACTGAAACTTCAATCAGATCAGTACTGTCCAGTAGAATTTTATGTTAGAATTATCTGTAACTGCACTACCAGTACAGCAGCCACTAGCCGTATACAGCTATTGGGCACTTGTAACGTGGCTAGTGTGATTGGGGAACTGATTTTTAAATTTTAATTTTAATCAATTTAAATTCAAGGAGTCACATATGGCTAGTGGCTAACACTTGGACAGCAAAAGTCTACAAAATGATTGTTGAAAACCTTGATATTGCCAATTATAAAGGCCCATTTAAAAATTCATGAGAAACTGTTAAAAGTAAATTTTTTTCAGACATTTTCTTCAAATTTAAAAGAATGATCAGGGGCGCCTGAGTGGCTCAGTCGTTAAGCGTCTGCCTTCGGCTCAGGTCCTGGTCCCAGGGTCCTGGGATCCAGCCCCCATTGGGCTCCCTGCTCAGCGGGAAGCCTGCTTCTCCCTCTCCCACTCCCCCTGCTTGTGTTCCCTCTCTTGCTGTCTCTCTCTCTCTGTCAAATAAATAAAATTTTTCGAAATAAAAATAAAAGAATGATCAGAAAGTAATTCTTTAAAAGTCTAACTTACAGTGTTATCTTTACAAAAATAGTTATGGTAGATAAAATTGTTTGATATTTAGTTTACATATCAGTACCCTTAGTTTATATCAGTACTTAGTTTATATAAGTACCCCTGAATGCATCTTAGAATTCTCTCACCAAGTATTTTCAAAGATTTCTTATCATTTGAAGTCATACTCCATCAAAATTCACATCTCTCACTAATAAACATTATCAAACTAATAATTATTTTTTAAAAGTGACAACTTTAAATTCTGAATTCCAATAAGAGTTAAATGCAACATGCCATTTGTGTTAATAAGACATATACATTAATTGCTAAAATGCAAATTAATACTTAAGGCTTTGATTTTAATATCTAAAAATACCCATTCATTTAACCAAAATTGTTGAGGAAAAATTTTAACACTAAAAAAATGACCAATAAGAAAAAAACCAAGGAAGTAATTTGCCATGTGTTTCTTAAAAAGTTTTATATGTCTATTGGTAGAACAACCAAGCACTCTTTCCCCTGGATTCACAGACTGCCACTGATATTAAAATACAGGGGCACCTGGATGGCTCAGTCAGTTGAGTGTCCCAACTCTCGGTTGTGGCTCAGGTTGTGATCTCATGGGGAGTGAGATCAAGCCCATGTTGGGCCCTGCTCTCATTGGGGAGTCTGCTTGAAGATTCTCTCCCTCTACCCCTCCCCTTCCCCTGCTCACATGCTCTCTTCTCTCTAAAATAAAGCTTTAAAAAAAATTAAAATACAAATAAAGTGTAATATACCCAATTGCTCCTGTTTGTCCCATATGAAAAGATTAAAGACGAATATGAGCAATAAACACCTAACAGTTTTCCTAATTTAAATGAGTATATTTTGAAACAATCTATTGGCAATCCTAAATTGTGAAAAACCCACAAATGTTAGATATTGTTAGTAAATAACAAATGCAACAAAATCAAAACAGAAATGCCTAAAGAAAGATATCAAATTATATCACAGAAAAGGATTATTTCCTTAAGTGATCACTTCTACCAGTTGAAGTGAAATGTAATCAAATGTAAATGTAAGGCGCCCCTGAATTTTTTTTCTTTTGTTTCTCATTTTGTAACAATAATCCTTGTCAGGACATTCTCTAACCTCTTATGCTCATTCTCCTCCTCACCAAAAGTAATACATTTACGTCACAAAGCGCCCTCTGACAGTAGAATTGTTATTCCCTGGGGTGCCTGGGTGGCTCAGTCATTAAGCGTCTGCCTTCAGCTCAGGTCATGATCCCAGGGTCCTGGGATCGAGCCCCGCAT